CAAGTGCGATAGGGTTGGTGTTGCCTTTCATTGTGTTAGCTGGAGCTTACTGATTTAGAGGTCACTGCTACACTGTTCGTCTTCTGCATTTGTCGATGTGTATGGGGTAGAAGAATTGTCATCTATGAAATTCAAATCGTCTAGGTACATCAAACCTGTCCATTGTATTTAAGAGAATAGGCATCCCTATCTGACTCCGGTCCTCACTTGGAATGCGTCTTTCAGATGTCCTCCATACACCTCTTTGGTGTGTAGTAGGTTGTATAAATTCCATATGATGTTGACGACTTTCTCAGGTATTCCATTGTGTAGAACAAGTTTCCACAACGTTCTCCCATTCACAGTGTCAGATGTTTTGGCATAATCAATGAAGTTGATGCATGGTGACGACTTTCATTCAATTGATTGCTCTATAATGATCTGTCGTTTCGCGTTTTTGTCTAAGCACATCTGATCATTACGGAATCTAGCCTGTTGGTCTCGAACCTGGTCCTCTACTGAATCTTTCATGTGGTTCGGCAACACTCTGTTGAGAACTTTTCTTGGTACTGACAGTAGTGTAGTGCCTCTTCAGTTCTTACATTTGCTCAGATCTACCCTCTTCTGTATCTTGATGAGGCACCCTTCTTTCTCGTCTCTCAGTGGAATTTGTTCCTCCCCCCAAATCTTCTTGAAGCGTTTAGTCTAAGCTGCCTAACGGTTGTAAGAGATGGGAGGCACAGTGCACCCACTCGTGTTCTGGGATGGTTGCGTGACCGAGTGACTTCAGCTGTGTGAGTTCGGCAAAAATAACGTGGTCAGCATTAAATGTCGAAGACTTACAGAACTATTTATACCGGGTATTTATTTGCCGCCGGAATCTAAATTTCTGCGCGACAATAATGTAGGAATCCCGCCACTACGTTTTCTTTGCTTGTTGTACGAAAACAATCGTTCTCAAAAAGTGAGGCTATTGCATGTCAACGTTCGTATTGAAGATTCTGGCTTTCATGTTGACCGACAGATATTTCGAGTTCTATATGTTATTCAACTGTAGGAATGCTGTCACTACTTTTCCAATCCTCTCCTTTACATCTGCATCAGATCCTCCACGTTTGTTGAATCATGGTCTACTTCGTTATTAGTACTGTTCTAATAATAGACCTAATCCTAAAATTGTAGATTTGTCATGATGTCACTACCAAATTTATAAGATCTCACGTGGAAGTCACTTAACTGACCCGTCCTTTCGTAATCATCACTATTATATGATGAACAACACACCTGGACTGGAGATTGAACAATATATTTCATATGAATAACAAATTGCACAGGAATGACGTCTGCAAGGCTGTTTTGGTAAAGACGAGGTTTCAAAACCGATTTTCCATACTAGACATACAATCTAGGATTTACAGGCATCATTATCATGTGAACACACAAAACTGATGTCAAGTTCAGAAACTGAAGGGGTCATTCAGGAACGCAAAACTGTTGAATTGGGATGCAGGGCTGGCGGCATAATATGAGACTCAATATCAGTAAAATGGTCGGGAGATTTAGAAGCTTCTGAGTTTTCCGAATCCACTGAACTTTCTTGAACTATTTTTGCATGATCTTCATTCGCATCAGATTTACATCGGTCTTCTTCGTCTTCTTCCTCTGCTGTTTCTAACCAGGTTAACCAGCGATTGACCTCAAATAATGCTTGCCATCCAATCAATTGAATTAATTATTCCCGCCTTCCCCATTGTTGAGTTTTTTGTGCTAAATGTTGAAAGTTTTTCCCCAGTTGTCTCGTGTTCAGCTTTGAGTATTGTGTGTTTGGGGCTCAATGCTACCACACGTTCATCGACGATGCATCTCAGATACGTTGTAGTATCAGTTTATTTGTTAAGCCCATATACCTTATTCTAGTTGCTGGCCAAGCCATTTTGCCTGTCATGAGTCATATTTTGATCTTCTTAATCATTTGCTTATTAACCTTGACTATACTTTTATATGAGCATATATGTGTACACTTCGTATCTTATTCATCGTATGTCTGTCACTCATTTTTGTCCGACTATAAATGTTGATTAACGCTTGCTTAAATCGAGTTGGCTTCCCAGCCATCTCCAATACGCATTGTTCTCGCTTCGCCCTCGAGTTGGCTTCCCAGCCAATCTCCATTGTGCATGATCTTTCGCTTCGTTCGCTTTATTCGCTTCATCACTCTGATTCTCTGGCCAGATCAATGACTGTAGAAAATATATGTATTCTAAATCTATTCTCGTATTTGACGTATTTAACTCCGTTGTTCACCAACGCGGATAAAGTCATTTATTACATACGAGTATAGACAGAATCAGATTTACGCTACAACAACGTAAACTTTTCCACCTGTTCCAGAGTTTCTCCATCATCAAGTGCGATAGGGTTGGTGTTGCCTTTCATTGTGTTAGCTGGAGCTTACTGATTTAGAGGTCACTGCTACACTGTTCGTCTTCTGCATTTGTCGATGTGTATGGGGTAGAAGAATTGTCATCTATGAAATTCAAATCGTCTAGGTACATCAAACCTGTCCATTGTATTTAAGAGAATAGGCATCCCTATCTGACTCCGGTCCTCACTTGGAATGCGTCTTTCAGATGTCCTCCATACACCTCTTTGGTGTGTAGTAGGTTGTATAAATTCCATATGATGTTGACGACTTTCTCAGGTATTCCATTGTGTAGAACAAGTTTCCACAACGTTCTCCCATTCACAGTGTCAGATGTTTTGGCATAATCAATGAAGTTGATGCATGGTGACGACTTTCATTCAATTGATTGCTCTATAATGATCTGTCGTTTCGCGTTTTTGTCTAAGCACATCTGATCATTACGGAATCTAGCCTGTTGGTCTCGAACCTGGTCCTCTACTGAATCTTTCATGTGGTTCGGCAACACTCTGTTGAGAACTTTTCTTGGTACTGACAGTAGTGTAGTGCCTCTTCAGTTCTTACATTTGCTCAGATCTACCCTCTTCTGTATCTTGATGAGGCACCCTTCTTTCTCGTCTCTCAGTGGAATTTGTTCCTCCCCCCAAATCTTCTTGAAGCGTTTAGTCTAAGCTGCCTAACGGTTGTAAGAGATGGGAGGCACAGTGCACCCACTCGTGTTCTGGGATGGTTGCGTGACCGAGTGACTTCAGCTGTGTGAGTTCGGCAAAAATAACGTGGTCAGCATTAAATGTCGAAGACTTACAGAACTATTTATACCGGGTATTTATTTGCCGCCGGAATCTAAATTTCTGCGCGACAATAATGTAGGAATCCCGCCACTACGTTTTCTTTGCTTGTTGTACGAAAACAATCGTTCTCAAAAAGTGAGGCTATTGCATGTCAACTGTCTTCCGTAAGTGTCACGGTCTCTGGTTTTGGTCTGCTTACATATATTACGGATTTTCAGGTATTCACATCTAAATGGTTTGTGGTTTGTTGACAAGTTCTGGTCTCAGAAGTGTGTCTTACGCCTTAGCAGCTTTCGACCTTTCTTGTCTATTCATGGAGGGCAAAGTGCTAGACCAGCAATGACAGTTCATGTTCTGAGTCGATATGTGTCACTTATGCGATGCATTCTAAAAGTGCGCACCGAATAATGATTGACAGTTGGCTGGTATCGAAACATCCACCTGAATTTGTAATCTCCGTCCAGTTGATATGTGGTGTGTTGAAATCTCCAACGATCGGACAACAATCGGACCTGCTCCAAGAATAGATATGACCTAAGATAAAGTCTTCAGCAAGACAACATAGACTTCGGTATAACTCTCCTGTAGTCACTAATCCATGTCTAGATTTATTGTCACAAAAAGTTGTTTCGCATGTATTTGTGTAATGCGCTTCTGACGCACTCGACTGTACACGAAAGCGATCTCTAAGATATAATATAATACTTTCTCCCCAGCGATTTACAACTCTATCACTTCTGATACTTATGTATCCTGCAGTCATCGTAGAACAGCCTACATCCACAAGGATCCGCGTTTCTGTGACATCAGTTACATCGGAAATTGACGACACCTTAACCAGTAACACCTCTTATGTTCATAGTGTAGCAATCCGGTCAGTTGAGAAGTCAGTAGCGAATAGGTTCAAAGATGTAATCGAAAGAATATCGATATATCGAGAAGTGATCAATGTAAGCTGGCTAGTGGTTGTAGGAGATGTGTCGAATGGTGCGCTCACCCGTGATCTGGTGTGGATGAGTGTTAGAGCGCCTTTAGCTGGGTGAGTCCACTAAAACTAATATGGTTAGCATCAAATGTTGAAGACTTACTGAGCTATTGATTTTAAGGATTTATTTACCGTTATACATCATTTTACTTTCGAGTTCTTAACACAGTAATGGTGTAGTGCAGTATTTAGCTAATCATTCACCTCGATAACCGTCATAATGCAAATCTTAACAGTGCATAATATTAGAAGGCAAAGAGAAGCGGCAGCTACAGTTTATTGTCAAATAGTGCAGGCCAGAAAGCCACAAGCAAATATCAACGAGCGAAGCGAAAATGAAACGCATTGGAGATGGCGGGTAAGCCAACTCACTTTTATCAAGCGTTAATAAATATTTATAGTCAGATAAAAATAAATGACAGATATGCGACAAATAGGATAAGAAGTGTACACACACATACGCTTATATATCAAAATAGTCCAAGTTAATAAGTGAATAATTAACGATGTCGAAAAATGACTCATGATGGATAGGTGAATCGGCTTGTCCAGAAGCTAGAATAAGCTGTGTAGGTGTAACATAGTACACGACGTTACACTACTCCCCACAAAGGCATCCTGCCAAATCCTTTTATTCTTTATGGGATATGATTCAGGATTATCTTTATTTTATCAACCCTAGATCTTTGTCATAAATTTTCACATGCTCATTGCTTTCGAGTATGGAAAGTGGCAAAGTTGTGAGTTAATATATACAATCCTCAATTGGACTATTCAACTGGGTGCTAATTCGCGCTCTGTCTGACAGTGTTGGCAACTGCAAATGGAGAATCCTTTTGCAGATCCTGTAGCGAGGTTGACACCGGTTTGTCGTACTGTCAATCTTGATATTTTCTCTTTAGACCAATTCTCATGATAACCTCCAGATTTCTCGTGTTGATACGGGTGCATTAGATAAGTACAATCCTTTCGAGGCTACTGCCCATGGGGATACCAAACAGGGTAATCATACCACTAATTCTGTACCACCACCTCCATATTCTGCTACTCAAGCTCAGAAAATTACAACCGCAGAGCTTGAACGTCGTCAGAAGGAACTGGATGCAAAGGCTGCAGAACTAGCACGAAGAGAAGAGGAACAACGAATGAGAGAGGAACAAAATCGGCCAGTATCCCAAGGAGGTTTGTCATTTTTCTCACCTGAATTGTCCGTTGCCTAACACGTTTAGTCACTGTGCTAATATACGTACCCAGTAGCATACTCTTGAGGCTAATTTGTCGATACTAACACATTTAGCAATTAATAAAGGAACTAAGTCTAGTCAGCTAAATGTCCCTCCGAATATATGCCTGAAATTTGATTTTTTTCCCCAGACGATTCTGATCCTGAGGTGTAAATGATCATAAATGACTGGTCCTGGTTATAACTACGATTGTGCACTGACTGGTCACTATAGATGTAGTTGCGTTCATCTGTGGCTTCGTTGTTGATTCAAGTCATACCTTTATATACAACCGTTTTCCCTGCCGTCCAGTTTTTCCACCGTCATTAAAAGCACTATTTTTCACTCATCTTGTTGTGTCGTGGTTAGCGCTTTTTGGTCGATGCACATTTGTGCTAGATGCACCGTTGATTGTGACTGGTGACCGTCGGATGCCCCTAATTCACAATTACTTGGTACAGTTTTCACGTTTTCATCGTTTAAAAATGTTTGTAAACAGGAATCATAAGTCAAGTTAACTTGAAAGATTATACATCATCAGACCTTCATGTAGATACTTTTATTCGTTCACCGTGAACCAAAAATGTATTAACCCTTCGATACTATGGACCCATTCAGCTGATTTACTGTTTCCTACCATATGCGCGATCGGAAGTTTAATGTTAATTTTATGCGGAAATTCATTCACACCTGTCTTATCAAAAGCGTATGGCTGATTTTTATCCTAGCTCAATGAGTTTGGTTTGTACTTCCCTTTGAGTTGCCATTTTAGAACTACTTGAATAACACATCTTCATAGTCGTGTAAATTTCCAGTCGTAATCTTGCATAATGCTCCAAAAGAATTATGTAAATAATGCTAAAAGTCGTATCTTCTGAAGTATTCTTATGTTATAGATGACTCCTTCCCTCCGGTTTCATCCTATAAAAGGTTACTTATTTTTACATGCCAAGGTCTGAACTCAAAGCTTTGAATTTCTCTATTAAAGTTTTCTTTTATTACGACTCCTAAATCAGTATAAATCTTACAGACTGTTCTGTTTTTCTGAAATATCTTATTTCTTTATTCTGTTTTTTATACTCATGTTTACCTGACATTATTAGCTACTTTGTGAAATTGCAAGCCACGACGCCACACTTTCTTTTTCTATCCATAGGTGTTATAGCCAAGAACTGGCCTCCATTACCATCCTTCTGTCCTTGTACTCCTTGCTTTTACCAAAACATTGAGACAGAAATTGTACCTGAGTACAAAGGAGTGGTCAAGTTTGGATATTACCTATGGCTGTCGTATGCTTGTTTGTTGTTAGTGAACTTGTTCACAGCAATGATATATTTTGCCGGTACTTCTAGCTACTACGGGGGAAGTCTTTTCGGTGTTGCTATTCTGGTGTTCATAATTTGTGTACCGTCATCGTACGTGTGTTGGTTCAGACCATTATACAAAGCCTTTAGGTAAGTTTGTATCTAAGTTATCAGATTACAGTGCTTAGTGTCATAGGAAAATGTTTAACAGTTATTGGCGAACGTCTCCAAACATTGTCTAATTAATATTTTTTAAATACCGTTATTGTCCATGATCTTGTAATTATTGTTCTAATTTAACAAATAGTAATACCTGCAGATTAACGAAAGTATTATTATGGGTATTATTTTTGACGACCACAGGAAAAGTGCTACGAAAAGTCCATTCTATTATGTATTTCTTAGTGTCATTGTTCAGAACCACTCTGCTTACCGTAATCATGAAATCGCCTGTCGATACGACTCAAACTAACACGATTATTTATATATTGTACACATGTCCTCGTTTAAGTGCCCCGAATCTCTTCCGGACTTACTACTTTCCTGTTCAATATGAAACATCAGTGTCATGAAGTTCTAGACATAATATATGTTCCACTTAATAGCAGTTCACCGTCTTAATGAATCATTTACTATTCCTATCTAACACGCAATATATTATCATAATATGCTTGGTCCTAAAATAGCCTGGTCTTGTTTATCGAAGACTGCCAAAATCTGATCTTCTGATCGCCTTGAATAACAATACAATCAGTTTTGGGTTTCGTTTCTCCTCCTTTGAACAAAAAATGTTACCTGAGGACTGATCTATGTAAATGCCCGAATTAATACTAGGCAATTTGATAGTTAAGTGCGCCTTCGACTTAACTTATCTTAAAAGTCTTATGAGTTCGTGTGGGTTGGTGTCTGACAAAATCTCGGCGTGGATTCCGAATGTTCAGTTGGCCTTCGCCAACATTTTTCACTTGCGTAGGCGAGATTTTCCTTCTGCCAACCAAAGGTCAAGTATACTGTGTAACATTCCGTCTCGTTTAACTCTACACTTGTTAGGAATGATCTTTTCAAGTAAAACATGCGTAGGTTACTAGTATTTTACAATGTATCTTCGAAGCCTTGCTCGTGTACCGTGAAACGACCGATTGAAAAATGTGAAGGTTAGGGGTAAAGATAACAAATCAGTTAATCACGCCACAAATCTTCACCTACTGAGGTGGATAGAACATGTTTTACTTGTGCCCAGCTGCTACTTACCTCGACGTACGCTGTTAGCTGGTTTAGGAGTAGGCTGGAAGCTAGCTAGGTTCGGTCAAATCAAATCATAGCATCAGTCCATAAAGTCACTGACTGTCGGTTAGAGATATGTACGTAGGTGCAGACTACTTGGTCTGGATCAGCGTATTAACCACTACCAGTGGTTGGGAACATCAAGTAAGATTGCTCAGAATCTATCACAATGGCGCAGGTTCACTCACTGTTCATATAAAGCTTGAGCTCCATTCTGCCTCCATATATATTCATCCTTTTTGTCTTCTGGAACCATAGTTTAAAGACTTAGTTTCTTCTTGTTGCCACAGCCGCTAGATTATCTTGATCTTTTCTGCTGGTAATCTTGTTAAAGTTACCTCGTTATATCAACTTGGTTTAGTAACCTGGGCCAACGCATAGTTGTGACAGGCTCTACGTTGATCATGACTGACATACTCAATACTTCATCAAATACTAGAAGTTTATACATGCTTCTTCAAATGCCATGTTTCAGAGTGTTACTCAGTATACTCGCTACTCAATAAGAAAATAAACATCTTGAGTCACATCGTCAAAGGATAAGAGAGCTCTTTGACCTGTGCTAAGATGTCATATGCCACCAACCAACAAGGGCTGATATAACCCGCGTATTAAGTAAAATAAGTAGCATCATTCTGTTTAGTCCCTACATTCACAGTAAACGTACAGACTAGTCATAAAGTTGATACGTACTTTCCTAAGTTTTTCTCATCGGACTTGACAATCATACTTAGAATTACTGATCCAGAATGTTTGAAGCTGGTGTCATTATCAGAAGTAAAGTTCAAGAACGTGAATCCAAAGATAACGATTATGGTAATATCGATCATGAAGTCATGTGATTGCTTATACAGTCATTATAGTTTGAAAGGATGACATATGCAGCAAACAGAATTCTTCCATGTTTTATTTTGGCAGTAAAGTATTTAATAAATCAGCAATACCTGATAAATCTATTGTTTCCTCGAACACTTTCTAGCTTTGTCAGGAAGAAAAGTGATCAGAAGTATTTAAATTTAAATAGTTTCATTTAAAAGGTGGTAAGCATCAAATCTGGAGCTTAACGCATAATTTTAGTAAGATTGGTCTCATGTTGTAAATGTTAGAACTCCACTCAATCTTACTTTAGTTCATCTAGAAATTCAATTATCAGTTCTCACGGCCTCGTACTAATATACAAATGAATTAAAAAGCAGAATTGACATTTTTGAAGTAGATCTTAAGTGAAAGACCCCTGTTAGTTGCCTTATTCAACAGTGTGTTCGTCTTTCTAAATAAACGGTTTACAACATTGCCTGTTTGTAACTTGTATGAAGTAAAAATGATTTCTTTAGAAAGCGGCCTAATCTCATGCATAAAGCCAAACGTTGAAATGTAGTTATCCTAGTTTTATTTATTTGTTTCAACACATAAATATTGGTAGAAAAGGCCATCATATAAATATGCGTCACACAACAACAACGAGAGTGTAATGTGCGTATAAGAAAAAAGAACAATGACCAGCAGAAATTAGTGTATGGTAATGAAATAATAATAATAATAGTAATAATAATAGGAAAGGAAGTTCAGTTAGCAAAGGTGCAACCAGAACGAATTCTCCCAGTTAAAGAAGTTACGTCGATTTTTTATGAATAAAGTAAAAGAAAGTTACAGCAAGATCGTCACTGGCTTTTATTCTGAGTCATATCTGATAACGTCTCAAGCCACTGTGTTGCGCCATCTCTAGGACCCCAACCAGAGAGTCGTGAAGGACCAATGGAAACCAGTCCTGTACAACTTTCATACTAAGACACTATGTCATAAACTGACCACCTCTCTTTTTCCAACCAGTCCCAACTTCGGAAAATAAGTAACGGTGTAGAATCCTCTGGGGTGATATTTGTAGAACATGTCCGAACCATCGAAGTCATAGTGACCAGCTTAAATGCCCAAGTATGGAGGGTAAACCTAGTAACCAGGCATTCAAGCTGTAGCTTTGTGATATCTCCCTAACGTATAGAGATTACTATTTGTTGCAATTTTTGAGTCACACGTTACTAACGAGTAATTGTTTTTTGTATGATTATGAGCACTTTCGTTTGACTTGTTGACCACTATGACTAATTTAGTGGTAAACTCAAAAACACTTCATAATCGTTCCGAAGCACATTCGGACTTCAAGCATATTGGTCACTATTTTGGAGTATCAGTAGCAACTAATGTAACCACTTCACTTTACTGTAAAGCTATAGTAAGACAAGTACAGAAGACCTACTTTTAATATGAAGATCTGTGTCACATGTCCCCCTAGCTGGGTGCTAAATGCTTAATAGTGTACTCCTTAACACTGGAATTTTATTCACCATACATTTCGAGAAGTAGTCGTCAATCACTAACACTCACTAAGCATTGTCTGAGTATTTAATGAAAGTGCCGAATAACGTGGTGATTATCCTCAAATGGAGATACACTATATTTCAAACATCATCTTAATTGATCCATCCTAAAGTTAGACAATTATTAAAGCTATAACCTAACGACTTAAAGTTTAGTGTTACTACTTGGTTGGGGTCCGTGTGACTATCGTAACCAGTGGTTGGAGACTCTGGGTGACATTGCTCAGAATCTATCACAATTACGTAGGTGTATACACTCTCTGTCTTCCCTTAAACCGTGAGATTAAAATTGCTTTATATCTTCCCACCAACTAATTCTTTCTTCCTGTACTATATCCTTATACACAATCTTTCTTTTATTTATTACTACCATTGAAGTAACTACTATGAATTCGGTGTTCATCTTGTTGTACTAATAAGGTGTGGCAACTTGGACCGATGCATATATGTACCTGGTTCTACGTTGTAGCTGACTGACTGGCTTAGCAGCTGTACAGATTGTTTGTTAGAAATCATGATTGATAGTCGTTTTTAATGGAAAGACGTAGGCTTTTTACTCACATAAATTGACTCTACTGTCTCGGCTTCTTTGCATTGGGTAGCAAGTAAATACATTTCACTAATGTCTAATTATGGTAGTTGTAACAAGAAAGTGTTATGGTATTTCATAATGGTAGTTAAATGAGAGTGGTCAAATGTTTCGATTGCTTACTTCGGCCAGTTAATTGGAATGATGTTTGACACGTTCGTTAAGTATAAGCAAAGTTACGAATAGCCCTTTCTAAATCGTTTTGATACTTCGGTAAATCCCAAAGCATGATCGCCTACACTAAATCCATGTAATGAAAAGGTATGTTTAACAATAAATTTCCATTCATTGGATATGTGTTTTTACTACTTTGGATTTTTTGTGTCCAAAAAATATTTCACAGACAAATTGAAATCGATAATTTTTTTCCTCATTTAATTCACACAGAAGCAACAGCTCAATCAATTTCTTCGTATTTTTCATTGTTTTTGGTGTTCAAGTTTTGGTTATGATCATACAGTCAATCGGCATCATAAATTGGGGATCCTGGTGAGTCTTTTACTACATATTTTGGATAACTAAGATTTTATTTACACTCGCTGAAAAAATACACTACTTTACCCTGTTACTTACCTACTTACGCCTGTTACTCCCAATGGAGCATTGGCCTCCTGACCACTATTCTTCAACCCACTCTGTCCTGGGCCTTCCTTTCTAGTTCTATCCAATTTTTTTAATTTTCATGTCTGTTTCCATTATCGGCGTAATGTGTTCTTTGGTCTTCCTCTTCTCATTTGGCCTTCAGGACTCCGTGTTGAGGGCTCGCCTTGTGATGCAGTTGGCTGTTTCTTCAGTGTGTGTCCTATCCACTTCCAGCGCTTCTTCCTGATTTCTCCCTCTGCTGGAATCTGGTTTGTTCTCTCCTGGCAGTGACATTCCATTGCCCCCAAATGCCCTGGTACGGCCGAGAGTGGGGAGAGTCACCTCTCCCTCTCGAAATGCTTTCATATGGCCAGCGAATATATAGCCTCTGCCAGGGAAGTCCTACTCACTGCCTTCTCGTGGCGGGGGTGTTGTTTACGAAAGTGAGAGGACTAAAGGCGAATGTCCGGCGCTTTAACCGGGTTGGTGGACATATAAAGTTCACCTAGGGGAGTTGGAAAACCCTGATTTCAAACCAGTGGTGCACATGGGCTCCAGTATCCTGAGGGAACAAATGGCGTACGAATCAACTGTTGATCACTGGCTACCATGGGACTGCATCTCCTCACGATGCTCCACTGCCTTGTGGATCAGACATTCAGGTCAAAGGCTCCGGGTGTGGCCCCCTAAGAAAACCACCTACTTCAGTCTGGGCACCTGAGAAGTATCACAGCCTTCACACAAATCGAATGAGATTTGTGGGGCGCATATTTATCTGGTGCTTCCTTGTACCAATATTTATGTGTTTAAATAAAATAAAATAAAATAAATACAGTAGGTTGTTGCTGATAGTGTCTGGCCATCGGATCCGAAGTGTTTTGCGTAGACAACTGCTAATAAACACTTGTATCTTCTGGATGATGGCTTTCGTAGTTCTTCACGTCTCCACTCCATACAGTAGAACTGTCTTGATATTTGTATTGAAAATTCTGACTTTAGTGTTGATTGTCAGTTGTTCTTCAATTGTAAATGTGTTGTTCTTGCTTTGCCGATCCGCGCCCTCACATCTGCATCAGATCCACCGTGTTCATCAATGATGCTGCCCAGATATGTAAAGGTTTTCACATCCTTAAAAGCTTCTTCGTCAAGTGTGATTTGATTGGTGTATGCTGTGTTGTATCGGAGAATCTCGCTTTTCTCTTTGTTTATATTGAGACCTACTGAGGCTGGTGCTACACTGGCCGTCTCCTGCATTTGTTGTTGCGTGTGTGATAGAAGAGCCACATCATCTACGAAGTCTAAATCGTCTAGCTGCATCATAGCTGTCCATTGTATCCCGTGTTTTCCTCTAGATATTGACGTCTTCATGATCCAGTCGATCACCAGGAGAAAGAGAAAGGGTGAGAGTAAGCAAGCTTGTCTGACACCAGTCTTTACCTCGAACGAGTAAGTGAGTATCAGAGTGTTTCACTTCGATATTAGGTTCGAGTAATTAATTGATATAGAATGCCAATCAGAAGTAGCCTAGTGAAAAAGTCAATCGATGGCATTCAGAAGTGACAAATGTCATATTTATTTCATTGGGCTCATTAAGTCAATTTCCTAAGAATAGAGTAGTATTTATGTGAATGAGTATTTGTGCATTTCATTCGGTGATCTAATACACTTTCTCTCTCATTCATATGTTCTTGCTTAAGTATTCAGTTGGGGGGGGGTTAGAGCGTATTATACTGTGTATCAGTATCTGTTGGGGGACGTTAGGTTCCCAGAACTCACTTGGAAAAAGTCCTAATTTTGTAATTTTATCCTGAAAATTTGAACTTTATGTTTTCGCGTCAAGAAACGCTTAGTCGCCCTACAGCTTATATTTCCCACTCGGGAATCCTTGACTGTCATTAATTGACGAACTTTTTTAGTACGCTATTTCGTTGCTCTCCCAAGGGCGTTTCTATCATCGTATAAATAAGCTTGATTTGTGTGCTTAGTGACCTCGTATTTTCTGGGTGCTTATAGAATCCATTCTCTACGCCTCATCAAGACCTCTTGATCTAGTTAGCAGGGCTGGGGACAACTGATTAGAATAACCTATCGTATCACTGTATCATTGATCTTTGTTCCGTTTACCGAGTAAGGTGAATTCGTAATAGCACCAAGCATATCAGTATCAGATTTAGGGCACCGCAAGTCACAACAGTAACCTTTCACACTTACAACCCCTATGGACGGAGTTAATAGACACTGATAAATTCGAACAAAGATCCATCCTTTTTAGTAGCTAATTTCAATGCATCCCTGTTTCCTTAGCGCCAAACACTATATATGTTTTTCAGTACATATCACATTACATTAAATATAATGCTCGGTTTCTTTATTTATAAATTATCCTGTATTCCAGTGGATGGATCACTGGTTTGGCGGTGGTCAAATCTAACCCGGTAATTGGAGTTATGTCATTGCTGGTAGCATCAATATTCACAGCCATCACAGGACTATCGGCTTGGTATCTTATTCATGTGAGTTTTCCTTCGCTTTGTTGTGTGTTTACTATCAGGTATGTATTATCATTCAATTTTGGTGCTATTGATAAACCATCCTGTTTAAAACACATACATGCTGTATCAGGACAAAGAAATTCCTATTCTATAGGGAATTTGTACTAACAGTCAAATACTACTTTAGTTTTTAGTGTCTATAAGCTGATCAACGTCACCAGAAAGTCATTAGAATGAAATCTCTGTACTCACACTAAATATTTTTATTATTGGTGTTTTTCGCTTTACTCAGTAATGTTAAGGCATACAAAGCTCATTAAGCAAACACAAGCTGGTGCTGTTGCTCCCAAGTCATGTTTTTGTTTCATTTCTACAAATATAAACATCTGTTTACTTTATAGGTCATAAAAGAACTTTCATTCTTCCAGGGTCAGCCTTTTAAGTTGTGACACCAATCTGGGTCTTTATTAATCATGTAGTGTCATAACAACCCACTTCAAGTTGTATTAAAAGAACAAAGGGATAGTGAGATGATTCAAGCATCTAACAAAATTCACCTAACCTAGTCTCAATACGGTCTCATGTAATATTCGAGGTGACGCTTAATTATGAAGAAAGTTCAAAGCAAATCATTTTTTACTTGTTTTGGTTTTTAAAATGGCTCACTGCATACTTTCAAGGTTCTTGAAATGTTAAAATTAGGATAAAAACTGACTCGTTGTTTGTCTTTCACTCAATTTACTTTACTTGCTGAGTAAATCTAAGCATACTTTTTGTTTATATTCACTCATTGATTTGTGTTTTATTTTTGTTGTTTAGGTACATCGCATCTATCGCAGTACGGGCGCTAGTTTTGGAAAGGCTAAAGAAGAATTCGCTAGTGGTGTAGTGTCAGATCCGTTTATAAGAAGCAGTGCACTGGAAGCCGGATTGTTTGCAACACGTCAGGCTACTTCAAGTGGTCCATCAGCTAACAGATCCTAAATAATACATAACTTTAATTCCCTAGTGAAAGTGTGTCTTTATGTTTAATTCCCGATTGTTTTCTCATAATACTTTACACAGCGTCATTGCCCTAACTTATTCTCTTGTATTTTTACTGTGACAGTTTGTTGGTTGGTGTTGTGTTTATAGTATTCATGTTTTTCTAGGCCTGAAACTACATATTCAAAAACACTCATTTTCTTCAAACTGCAGAATCCTCTATGATATATATATTTCTTCACCTCTTAATGTCATCCAGTAAAAGTTGTCTTGACTTGTGATCATATTTTTGATTTATTTTAATTTTTTCACTTAGTGTTCTTGTAATATGATGCTTGCAATTCCCACAACACTCTGAGGGACTTGCTATTATTTTTCAATTTATACTGGTTGGTCGTTTATTTTGATTGAGGAAAAAGACCAATATTCTCAAGTAAACTAGCCTTAAATGAGAAAAATTTCCTGAGCGAGTATTAAAATGTAGTGAATGTAATTAAGTATCATTTTGTTTTGTAACCAACAATTACAGGTCAAAGAATATTAGGGTGAATTTCTGACGTTGGTTTTAATGATCGTAGGTGAGTTTATTTTCTATATAGGAGGAAGTGTTGTTTCAGAGGAAACCACTTCAGGAAACTCGACCTAATATCATGATTGATGACGCAGTGTCAATATAGTGGCATATGAAGTAAAACATTTGGACATGGACTATTAGCTACATTGATATCTAGTGTTTTTGTTATGAATTATGGTTGTATTGTGTCAGAAGCACAATTTCGCCTTTAAAAATATTGATATAATGCTAATCGATTGGTAGTTTTTCTGGATATCATTTTCTTAGCAAGGTTGTTTTTTATAGGATGGGGTTGCCTGACCCTCTATCCGGGTTTGGGACCAACATTTACCCTAGAAGTAGAGTTTATTGGTTGATGATGCAAATTGCATCTTTTGAAACATATAATGACGAAACTGATATTACTTATGATACCCTACTAAAATATCGAACAAAACAAAACATTCCTATGGATATTTAAAACCATTAATCTGATCGATAGATTTAGATAACAAACTAGAGTTCTTACATCCCCATTTGTCTGGTTTGACTCCTTCCGTAATAATATTTTAATGTGCGATCAGATTGTTTAAACCGTTTTATGCCAATATTCCACATAGTTTCGATAAACTTCGTCTTTTCGATTCACCTCATAAACACTTATAGACAGAAGTACATGATATAATAGACAATTTGAAATCACATTTTTTGCCTCATTTATGTGCTTTGCTATCCTTTAGTTATAAAACACTTGGTAATTTTAGAAATAGATGTCATCTAGGCTTCTTTTCTTTAATTTGGTCCTTAATAACAGATCGTTTTTAGACTCAACATTTCCTTAAACGAGATTCGACTGCATTTAGAACAAATAACACCTCAAAATTTGATAAATATTCGTCTACATCTTATTCAAAAATTCTAATTAGATCTCGTTCAGAAGCGAAACAGTCTTAGATCGTAAAAGTTTCAAAGTAATTCGCTAGTCAATAATGTTACTTATTCTATCAGAAAGAGTATGTAACGGATAATTTCCAGTCAGCTTATGTGAATTAGACATTTGATTGAAGCCTTCAGAAGTGTGTTGTAAAGAGTCCTCAGGGTATCATTTAACTAAGTACATATTATTGTTTGTATTATGGTCACTGATTGGCCGCTTTTTATAGATCAGTCATTCATGTACAAAGTAGAGGCTGATGCATGTATACATCGATCCGAATTATCAGGACAGCGAGATAGGATTTTCAAGGCCAGTCCTATTGTGGTAGACGTGGTAACAGTGCTAGCTGTAAATCGGTCTTTTTTGATGACAAAGAATCTTTTAATTTCAGAGTTTCCGTGCTCCGATTAATGTAAACAACTGCATTAGTGAAGACGCTGACAAAATGCAGAGTCTTCTGACCACCATAAGCAACAATGCAGGCATGTTCGGGATGCGATTCTTCCCCTCGAAGTGCAAAATGTTACTTCAGGATTGGGTTGCATCGACACCTGAACTAATGATAGGAGTGAAGCAGTCGAGCTTGTCGACTGGGACCACCGGGTAAGTAATGCAGATGTTAGGAAACGGGTACTAGGTAAGGATGGCAAATAGATTGATGAAGTAGTGAAACTTCATCAGTTGAGATGGCTGGGACATGTGTTACGTATGCCCAACCACCGACGTGCAATGCTTTATAGTGTAGGAGTAGGTTGGAAGAAAGCTAGGGGCGGCCAGACCAAAACATGGCATAAATCCATGAAGTTACTGACAAGTTGACTGAACCATGTTGGTAGGTGTAGACTACCTGGTTGGGATTCGCGAGATGATAGCAACCGATGGTAAGAGACCTTGAATGACATGGCTCAAAATCGTTTGCAATGGCGAAGGTGTATCCACTCTTTGTGTTCTCTCAAATTCTAATCTGAATTATTTGTGTCCTTTTTCTCTTTCCAAATTTATTTCACTGTATTATACTCCTTCAATAATATCTTCAAATCCTTATCTTTCACATAATACCTATACTCTTACGACTTCTACCACTATGGAATTTGAATCGACAACTTCATCTCTGTGCTAATGTGGTATGGCAACTCGAACTGATGTACGTATGTACGAAGTTCTACGTTGTAACTGACTGACTGAAACAACTGCATTACATGTTTACAATAGGACCCTAAAACTCTCAATGATGACGCAAAGCAACAACATAAATTCACTTCACGAATAACATGAGATAATCAGCTAGTGCAGTAGCGACAAAAAATCCAGTTTAGTTCGTAAGGGTGGTAATAACTAGGTTTAGGGTAGTGAATAACTTCAGTAAAAGAGAACATTATATTGCGGTCCACTAGTATTCTTCAAAAGAATCCCTAAAGATCTAGGGAAGCATTGATTGGTAAAACAGATAATTAGAAAACTATGCTAGTATATAACGTAAGCAAATATGAACACAGCGACTTATTATTGGGACTCTGCTAATCAAATAGGCAGCAGTTAGGCATGTTTTGAGTGGTGGAAAACGAAATATTCCTACATAAAGTACTAATTACTGTGGGCAAAATACTGAAGGTGGATTTAACTGTCCGTCAAATACATATTACTTAGACTCATTCTGACAAAGATACATTTGACAAAAAATATTTTAGGATTCACACGCCTAAAAGTAATTGGGAAGATATGTTACAGTTTGCAGACTGTCGCTTCAAAAATTTTACATGAGAATTAGTTTACTTGGTAAGTGAGGCACATATTAGTATAAAAGGAAGCTCGGTTGGTCATAAAAAATGTAGATCGTTTACCAAGTATATGTTTATATTACTTACGCCTGTTACTCCTAATGGAGCATGGGCCGCCGACCAGTATTCTCCAATCCACTCTGTCCTGGGCCTTTGTTTTTAGTTCCATCCAATTTTTGTTGATTCTTCTCACATCTGTCTCTATTATCGGCGTAATGTGTTCTTTGGTCTTCCTCTTCTCCTTTGGCCTTCAGGACTCCATGTTGAGGGCTTGCCTTGTAACGCAGTTGGGTGATTTCCTCAAAGTGTGTCCTATCCACTTCCAGCGCTTCTTCCTCCGCTGAAATATGTTTATATACTCACACTTTTGTATAATGTTTAGTAATGCTACTCATCTTTTCAGGCTGAACTAAGTGGAGTAAAGTTTATATATTTGACCTACTGATAGAAACTCAATTAATAACCACAAATGTATATTGACCCGAGTCACAGTGCATCACATAAAACTAAATTTGGTATTGTCTAAATCACTAGCTTAACACTTAAAATATATCAAGTAACTATACATGAACTAGATGAGAATATGGTAAGCAGAGATGGATAGTGGCTAGCAGTGGAATCCAGGACGCGCGTTTCGTCCTATTTGGGACTCGTCAGCTGGATGTACCTGCATCTCAGAGTTGATGTTCACTCTGGGACTCGAACCCAGTACCCTCGCTTCAAACGCCATCGCGTTATCCATTCGGCCATTGAGTCCTGATAGCCACTTGCTCGTGCGATGGGGTGAAGTTTGAATTCACTTAGTATTGTTTGTTTGGATCTTCCCATCGATGTGTTTAGGACTGCAACTGGTCAGTTTCTAATTGGCATATGTGCGTATTGCCACTTGCACAAGCAAGTGGCTATCAGGACTCAGTGGCCGAGTGGATAACGCGATGGCGTTTGAAGCGAGGGTACTGGGTTCGAGTCCCAGAGTGAACATCAACTCTGAGATGCAGGTACATACAGCTGACGAGTCCCAAATAGGATGAAACGCGCGTCCTGGATTCCACTGCTAGCCACTATCCATCTCTGCTTACCATGCTTGTGAATTAAGGTATATCGAAGCAATGCGCACAGTATGCACATATGTCAATTAGAGACTGACCAGTTGCAGTCCTAAACACATCGATGGGAAGATCCAAACAAACAATACTAGGTGAATTTAGATGAGAATATGTTTTTGAAATAAATACTAATCAATTGACTACTGTTTACATAGAGGAAATGTTTACACTGTATAATATAAGTAAAGGAAAATATAAAGCGTACAAATATTTAAAAAAACTTAGGTTTAATGTTAGTGCAATAATCACTTAGCTTAATAGGGATTATATGAAATAATAATCGTTATTTAGAGACCTATAATCCATGTATATATCATTTGATATGGAACTATATGGGAATTCCAATATGACAACTCCTTTTCATACTTGGTAAAGCTAGAAATAATTTGTACTGAGCCTAACTCATATTTCTGAGTTAATTCAAACCAAATCGACATTTTAATACTGATAATTTGGTTTATTACCAACCAATAAAACACGAATTATCAATAACTAAATATCTAACAACATGGACAACAGTCATGTAGTGAAGTTATTTAACATGTTTTAATATTTTTACTTAAAAAGTATAATTTTCACATTAAGTATCAAGTTGACGAAAACAATCTGTAAAGAAACTAATCTGC